CCGGCTTTTCATGTGGGTTCCGGCTTTGAATTTGGGTCCACTAAGGTATCACCCCACTCTCCACTCTTGAGGTTAATTATCAACCCATGCACGCTGGTGGGAGCCTGCAGAACTGAAAACACCAACACGTGTGTGTCAGCTTGGAGCTGAGTCAGCCCCTGTCTGCACTTGGCCTGCGCTCAACAAATCATCGTGATAATTGCAGGATGCTCTTTGCTTATTGAAAGAAAATGCCTGGGTGCCCCAGAGGCACACATAATTATAGGCTTTAGGAAAACAGGGCCTTTTAACAAGTAGGCTGGGAAAGGCTAAGGACTGGAGCATTCCTCATTCCTCTGTGGACGATTCCCTCAGTCAGAAGGCCACTCACTGGCTCAGGCAAGCGGGGCTGGTTGACTGTGCATCGCCCACATCATCAGGGCTGCTGACAGAGCGGTGGGTCTCGACAGACGCACTGAAATAAGACTATTCTTCGTAAACTGATTCTGTTACTAGTGTAAACACTAGAAAATTCTCCCCTATGATAGTGTGATAAAAAAAAGAGTTAAATTTACCATTGTTTGGGGCACAGCGATAGCAAAGAACTTCCTGTGGAAGAATGATAACGTAATCCCCACACGCGTGTCAGAAGCCTGGCCTGGTGACATGTGCTTGCTAGCCCAGCACTGGGGAGGCAGGGGCAGGTAGATCCCTGGGACTCACTAGCCAGCCAGCCTAGCTGAACCAGCGAGCCCAAGTCCTGGTGAGAGACCTTGTCTTATAAAACAGTGTGGATAGCACCAAAGACAACACTTGAAGTCATCCTCTGGTCTCCACATGCATGTAAACACATGTGTGGGCACGCACGCACGCGCACACGCACACGCGCACACATGCACACACACGCCAAGAGCAGAGAGTTAGCTATCTAAGCAGAGGCCCCCAAGCCAGGCCTGGCCTCACTTCACAGATGGTTCTAGGTAAATACATGCAGCCCGTGCACACGGTGGATCTGAGGCCGGTACCTGACTGAAGCCACACGCAGCCGAGCCGGGGTGGGCAGAAGCTGGCAGGAGTCGGAGCCTGTCAGCGCTGTCAGCCCTGATTTGCGGCCAAGCTGGGTTCCCCAAGTTCAAAGAGCACTGAGCTGCTTGTCTTTGTCAAGAGCGCGGCTGGGGATCTTTTATGTGGAAGATGTAGGATTCTCAGGCTGGCTTTGATTATTTATTCATCCCCCTTCGTGGGTGCGTGATAGTGCAGCCATGGTGGAGTCCCTTGTCCTGACCACTCTGGCTCAGGAATTCATGGAGCTTAAAGCCTTTTGAAAATTGTTTTTCCAGGGAGGGGGAAAGTTTTTGAAGTCTTCTCTCTCTGTCTCCCTCCCTCTCCACAGTTCCTCAGCAGCTCCTGCCGCCTTTCCACGCGCCTTTGCCGATTGACATGCGGCACCAGGAGGGACGGTACCATTACGATCCTCACTCAGTCCACGGTGTACACGGGTAAGTGCTGGCTTCCATCTGCTGCTCCTGGGGTGCAGCCACCCGCCTCTGTCCTTTAGGTCACCAAAGTGCCGTGACTGTGCGCCTGTGAGCAGGTGATGCGCGCCTACGAGCCACCTCCTGGTTTCTTCTGAGTGTCAAGCTTGGGTCACGTGTCATCATCGTGGCCTCTGGCTCTAGGCTGCCTGGTTGGTCCCTACATGATTGGAGCCACGTCACCCATACGGTACCCCGAACCCAAGTCAGGAACGTAACCTTACATGTAGACTGCCCTGGCGTTGTGGGTTGGAGTCCCCCTTGCTAACTCAGGTGTCCTGGGGCATTGTGTGTCCCCTACTCTTTAAAACAAGCTCAGAGTGATGCCTCGGGGTCCCTTCCTGCCTCCCACCATGAGGTCCCCCAGAAGAAAGGCAACACCTTGGTGTGACTGGGCATTTCCACCCAGGACCCCTGGGACCCCCCGGCCCCTGGCTGACGTTCATTCTCTTGATGTTTGGTCCTTTCTCAGTCCCTCCACCTCCTACACCACCATCCTCCTCTCAGAGGAGAGACCCAGTTCCTTCTCACACTCAGTGACAAGGCGCCTGAGCGACATGAAGAGAGAAAGTGTATTTTGGTTCATGTTTTGAAGATACATCCACCATGGTGGAGAAGTCGAGGCATCCGTTCACATGACATCCACATTCAGGAAGCGGGGAGACGTGAATTCCAGTGCTCGGTGGGCTTTCTCCTTTTTTTTTTCCAGTGTGGGACCCCAGCCCATGTAATAGTGCCACCCACAGTTAGGGTGGGTCTTCCCCCAAATAACCTAATCTGGGAAGTCCTTACAGGTGTGTGTGTGTGTGTGTGTGTGTGTGTGTGTGTGTGTGTGTGTGTGTGCGCGTGCATGTCTCCTGTGTGGTTCTCGATGCCAAGTTGATCGTCAACATTAACCATCACGGAGGTCTAGTCTAGGCGTTGGCCATTTCCCTGCACTCAGCCTCTCCACAGCCCCCCATGCTTGGAAAGTGAGTCCCTATGCCTGTCCTCATCCCCTCCCACTCTCCTCTGGCCATTTGCCCACAACAAGTTGCTGTCTGGGGTGCTGGTTCACAATCTCTGTCACCTGTCTTTATGACAGGCTCCTGTTGCCTACCCACCCTCTAGAACCTCCTCAGCTTCAGAGCCACCTCCTGAGGAGAACCCGATGCCCCCACTCTGAATGGGGCCCTGCTCTGGATTCCAGCACCATTGCCAGAGCAGACTAAGCTGTCCTCACACATGCTCCACATAGCCCCTGAGCCTCCCTCGGGGCTGTGCCTACAAGGACAGTTGCGTGGTAGGTACACAGAGTGCTGAGTAGGAAGTCCCCGCTGGTGCCCCACCTGTGAGACACCATCTCCCACTAGAGTAAAATCGGTCGGCATGGCTGTGTGCTCAGATGGTCAAAGCATTGTGGCTTTGCTGCATCCCAGCCAGCCGCATCCCCCCAACCCCACCCCCAGTGATACCGGTGTCAGGACACCTACCGCCTACTAGACAGCCAACCCGACTTTGGTTTCCTTTTCAAACAAATTTTACGTTTAATGTCGCGTTGTGACGAGATGGCTCAGTGAGCGGAAGGGCTTGCAGCGCAAGCCTGGCGACCCGGGTTCAACCCCAGAACCCACGTAAGGGCAGAAGGAGAGAACCAGCTCCCCAAGGGTTCTCCACCCTCCACGTGTGTGCCATGGCAGGTACGCACCCATATACATAGATAACGCACCATACTCCATAACCAGTAAATAAGCAATTAAAATTAAGTTTTCATTTTGGAGTAAATTCAAGCTTGCAAAAGTTGTAAAAATTAGACAAGATAAACCACAGGCCCTCCACTCAGCTCTTCGGACATTAACATCCTATGTCATCCAGTACCAATACGGTGAACTAACACACACACCTGATACAAATATGGAGAGTTTTCCCTTAAGTCTGTGTTTCTTTGTTCATGATCCAGTACAGAATCTCTCACTGAGTAAACGACTTTGTGTGTGTGTGTGTGTGTGTGTGTGTGTGTGTGTGTGTGTGTGCGTGCATGCGTGAACACACACACGCACATGCATGCACGCATGCACGCACCCATGCACGCACGCGCACACAAGCGGAGGACAGAGGAGGACATCAGATACTCTTCGCTGCCACTGTCCTTACTCCCTAGAGACAGGGTGTCTCCCTGAACCTAAAGCTAGGTTGGCAGCCAGCAATCCTCAGTATCCTCTTGTCTCTGCCCCCGCCCCAGCACTGACTTACAGATCCGCGGCCATGCCCAGTTTTTTAAGTGGGTGCTGGGGATTAGAACACGGTCCACATCTTATTCAGAAAGTGCTCCTAGCCACTGAGCCATCTCCCTATCCCCTTAGCCGTGGAAATTACCCTGTTACTCACTGGCTTCCATGACCTTTGCAGCAGACTGGACACCTGAGGGCTGGGTGCTCATTTCCTGTGGCTATAACAAATGACCACCTCAGCAGCTTAACACAACACAAATGTATTCTCCTACAGTTCTGGAGGGAACACGTGCCTTTGTCTTTCACCCTTTCTGGAAGCCTGCATCTTTTGGCCTGCGATCCCAACCTCACACCATACCACCTTTCCCCTGCACCCGCCCACACATGGCTCTTATCTACTGCTACAGATTTCTTTCTGGATTTCTTTTTCATCAGAGACACTTGCTGTTGCTTTTAGAGATGATCCAGCTGGGTCCAGGATCATCTCTGCATCCTGACATCCTTCCCCAAGTCACAACTTCCGATGCAGATGACATTGACGGGCTCCATAGATTAATATGCATGCCTTCTTCTTAGGAGCTAGTGCTTCATCATTTGATATCACCAAGCCTTGGTGCAGAGGCTGGGAGGTAGACCATGCACTTCTGTGGGGTTTAGGGGACTGGACTCTGGGACATAGCCCAGGAGGATCTCGCCTATCAACCCCACTGCCAGGAGGCACTATAGAGTTCTCGGACCTGTGACCTGCGAGGGCAGGCCTCAGACGCTCCTTGATAACTTCAGGATAGCTGGTCTCCACCAAGAAGGCTTAGAAGGGGCTGGCCTCAGGCTCTGGAAGGCACACCTCCTCATTCTCCTACTCCCTATGTCCCAGGTGAGAACTAGACAAAGCCTGTAAGAAAAATGGTCCCATACTTCGGGTTTCTGTGATTAATGTGGTCCGAGCCTGGCGGAGTCCCCAATCCATCAAGCTTGTGCTGGAGCCTGCTTGCTACCACCAATATGTCTAATTACACAAGCCGCACACTGCAAATGAGGTACCATGTCATCTCCTCTCAGCAGAGGCTCAGCCCCGGCCTGCCTCTTGGAGCCCCAAGGCCTTAGCTTGCTGCTGGGAACACGTGCTGCTCTGCTCAGCCCGCTCTTCCCCCACACTGCTTGAACACTCAGACCCCTGCGTGTGGCTCTTAGGACCCTGATAACTCCCAGGAGTGGAGGATCCCAATGCGCAAGCTCTGAGTCTAGTGATCCCCGGCATTCCATATGCCCATAGGACGGCCTCAGTCATACTCAGGGACTTTCTGTCATCTCAGCTCTGCCAGGCTGCCTGCCAGTGAGGAAGAGGTGGTCCAGGCAAACCCACAAGCCTCATTTTTCTCATTTGTGAAATGAGCGTATCTCCTGAACGTTAGGTTTCAGACTAGAGGCTGACGAAGCCCTGCTGACCTACAGTTGTCTCCTCTCACAGCTGCTGTGAAGGAAATGGCAACCCCCCACCAAGAGTCTGTCTGCAAATCTGCAAGCCCATCCCTTATAGACTCCCCCAAGTGCTACGATTCCAGGAAATGGCAGGTGCCGTTCTCAGATCCCCAAGGAAGTTCACAGGCCTCAGGTAGCCAGACTCTGGGACATCAGAGGGCTGTGGGAACAGTGGGTACACTTCAGCTACATGTGCCCCTCCTCTCCACTTCAGCCACATCCTTGGAGTTGCATACCTCCTCCCCAAATGCAGGTCCACACCGTGGACCACCCATCAATTACATGACAGAAGACTTCCCCCTTCTTCTGAGACCTATAAGAAAGGACCTCCACTATCTGCCTTATAGTCCTGAACACTCCTCAGAGCTTTTATCATGCTGCTGTCTGTCTGTCTGTCTGTCTGTCCATGGTGCTAATAATTCTTCTAATAAACCTCTTACCAAAACAACAATCCACCTTAGTACCCCCATTGAATGTCAAACCCAAGACCTTTCACTGAGATGATCTTAATAGTAGAATCCACTGAGTGGTCGTTTTTGTAACAGCCACAAGCCCACTGATTTGTGTGGCTGTGGTGTCTCAGGCAGAGGAGTGGAGCCAAAGAGCAACCTCTGCTGTTGTTCCTCAGGGGCTTGCCTTTTAAGATGGAGTATCTCATTGGCCTGGAATACCACAATAGGCTAATATGGCTGCCCAATGAGCCCTGAAGTTCTGTCTGTCTGTCCCCTGCAACACTGGGATTAAAAATGCACGCCATGAGTTATCCTCCTCTATGGCTCTATACACCATCACAACCACCACCACCACCACCATCATCATCACCATCA